GGCCTCATAATGCTCACCCTTTAAATGCCCGCATCCACTCTTTCCTTGTTGGATGCACGGAGCCCATGTCAGACCCAAAGGCAACTTATGCGCCTTGCACACACACGTCAAAACTTGTACTATCTCATTTAATGCACCTTCGTATAACTCGTCAAAACCCTGACAAACATATATATATAGAGAGAGAGAGTTAGTTTGTTAGTTTAGTTATTAATACATACATGAATGGATCCTACCCTGGCCTCATGCACGTACCTTCACGGTGACGCCCGGTGGAACATTCAAGTTTTGATTTATAAAATCAACACCCTGCTCGATCATCAATCATAATTAGCTAGCATGTAATGTAATGTATAGCATAGCATAGCGTAGTTTCACTAACCTGAAGGGCATGACAAACATTGTGGAGGTTGGGGTTGTTGGGCATCAGAATCTGGAGAAAACCAAGACATATGGCAGTGCCTCTCTCAAAGACAGGAAGGGCGAGAGATCCAGCACGTACATCGTATTGCTCGTCACTTCTGAAGAACCGAATGTTGGGATTGGGACTCCACTCATCCTCAAACTCAAAACCTCTTGTTGCGTCCCCATAATCAAGGCCAAGGGCGTATGGAGGCTGAGCACGTGTAGTCCGTGCGGGCACCCATACCTGAATGGAATTCATGGCGTATTCTTTTAAGTACCCAACGGCAACCACTAATCTCTCTTGCACAGACGTAGATGGCCCTGGATTCGCCCTTGGTCCAATCCACCATCTCTTCCCCACTTCTGATTCTTCTATTTGCGCTTCCATGCTCCACTCTGACTTTGAATTAACCCTTGTTTCCACCCAGCATCCTTCTACAAACAGCTCATCAATCAAATCCGTTTCTGGGGCAAAAAACTCTGACAAGCTCCCATATGCACCATTCTGCACCAACCCCTCGTATTCCATCTTCCTTAACTCACCGCGCGCTGATTCTATAATTAAGACTACCCATTACTTACGTACTATTGTATGTACAGAACAGATGCCAAAATTAATATTCAATGTCAAGGATTGATTATTGTCTTTGTCTCAATAACAGAAGCAACTTCATCCTATGCTTTCTCTATCTTGATTAAAGAAACAAAATAATTTTGAACTCTGTCACCCTGTGTTGTGGTAATCCGAAGGTATGGACAAGAAACTTTTCTTTATTAATTTATCCATATCCCGGCCATTAAACTAGTTTGTGTGAAAAAGGGTTTGTTGAAAGCTTTCAACCAGAGGAAAATGAAGTTTATTGCGAAATTTATACAGCTTGAAATATGTTAAGAAAGGTAAAAATGAATAATCAATTGAACGCCTAAAGCTGCAACACTATCATAACATGCAGACACACATACGTACAGGGGGAATGGAGATTATGTTCAAGACTCCTTCAACTTACTTAATTTGAAGATTCAGGCTAGCTTATGAGATAACTAACTCCTGGAATATATATATGCGTAATTAATTAAGATTATGAACAAAGGAAAAGTTTAACCCTTACCCTAGCTTATAGAACGAGCAAGAGAGGAATGTTATTGTGTATTATCTGATCGATCTCAACTCTAAGTAGTTGGGCGCTGCTTTGCTTATTACTATACAGTTACACTTACCAGGCAGCATGAAGCCTTCTATTTAATGACCCAGTTTGCTAGAACTCCAAATTTTCTAGAATACTGTCAGTAGGACCCACAAGTTAGAAAAACCTAGGATGGGCGTCGCTCTCATCGTGTATACTATATCATTCCTCAATACCATAATTTTGATGTTTTAAAAAAAACCAAAATATTCGTTGTTTTACGAATTTCAAGTAATATTAATTAACATTTTTATCATATATCCTTACTTAACAATTGTTTATTTCTACTCATAATTTATGTTGTTGTTAAAGATATTAAATAAAGATTGTTTAGACATACAATAGTGTGCATGATATTTTAATGATAGGTTAAAAATATCTTTTTATCTTAATTTTAGATTTATCATAAATCTTGGATTCTTGACGATGTAAAAAGTATTAATTTTTTATGTTGTTTATAAAAATAGACAACATAAAATGATGACTTTTTTTGTCACTTATAAAAATAATTGTCATAAAAAAATTTCTTATGTTATATTCGTAATGTTCTATTTTTTCTCTCTTGTTGTATTTTTGTTGTTTTGATACTATGTTTTTTTTCATTCATTGTATTTTGTCGTCATACTCTTTCTTTCTTGTCATATTTTTTTGTGCTTTGTTGTTGCACTCTTTTACTCTCGTTGTATCTCTTCACATTTCATTGTTTTCGCTCTCTCCCTTTCGTTCTTCAATCTTTGCATTTTGCTACTTCCACCACTATGTTCAACACTTTTACCACCATATATATTTGCTTTCAAACCACAACATTATCAAAGCAAAAGAAAAGGGAAATGTAATGAAACCTGAAACAGAAAACACAAAAAAGAAAAGGAAAAAAATAATTTACCTGAATATGCAAGGAGGAGGAGAACGAAGAAAAAAGAAAGGCAATAAAACCAAAAATGAGTCTGAAAGTTAAAAAATACAAATTGTGTTTTCTAAAATTTTAAACTTCTTTTTATGTTGATTATTGTTTCACCCGTCATGAAAAGTTTTTTCTATATTGAGTGTTATTATATTTGTCATATATATAAAGGTTGAGGTCAACTACAAAGTTGACTCTTTCCAA